CTCCTGTGAGGCGACAGCTCCTGTGAGGCGACCTGCATTCCAGCAGACGGCCCTGTACCCATGCCCATGCTACCAACGCTGAGTGGGCTCAGTGGGTTAAAAGACAAGAAAGAAGAAAAGGAAAGGAAGGTTGGGAAGGAATATTTTTGGAGGAGAGAGAATGGGCTTGGAGTTGATTAACACACATTGTATTCATGTACAAAACTTTCAAACAATAAAACTTCAACTTGAAAACCATTGCAGCCAATCAAGTTTGATTACAGTGTTTGATAAATCCTTACATTTATTGTTCCTGTCCCCTGAGGTCCCTGCAGTGCAGACTGTATGGAGGGCATTATCACTGACATTCCAGTAGAGAAGCTGCAGAAATGGCCCATAGGTTTCCTGCATCTGAGCTCTCCGCAGACATTGACATGGAGTGTGGTGTGGCATAAGCTCTGTTATGGAAAGGCACTCCCTTGTTCACTTTCAAGGTTATTGGTTTGCTGGCCTCTGAGTGGAACATCCCCGTCTTCGACTTTGCTGGACAGATGGCAGCCCTGGAGGACCACTTCTGGTGTGATACCTGTGTGACCCTCGTGCCACCCAAGCAGGACATTGGTGCCGTGCTTCGGGAAACCCTATGGTTCTTGGGCTGGGAAGACATCGGGCTGTTTGGAGGCTCCTCTGGGGCTTCCTCCAGTGAAGGCGTGGATGAGCTGTGGAGAGCTGTTGAGGATGGACTCCAGCTGCATTTCACCATCACTGCCAGCATGAGGTACAGCAACAGCAGCCCAGACCTTCTGCAGGAAAACCTCAGAAGCGTGTCATCTGTTGCCAGGGGTAAGCAGGCAAGATTCTTCCTTTGCTTGTGTTTGAAGATTGTTTAGAAACAGCTTTGGGCTCTTTGTCTTTATACTTATTTTTCTATAAGTATAAAAAGCAAGTAGAAACAAGGTACAAAATTAATGATACATTAAAGTAATTTATGTGTGTGTGTGTGTGTGTGTGTGTGTGTGTGTGTGTGTGTTTGTGTGATAGAAAATTTTGGCTGTTATAGTGTTGTGCTGCACAGAGGATTCTAGAAGTATATTTCTGGTAATCTGGGTCTCGGACTTTATTTGTTACTGAGAACATGGGACACACTTAGTTTTTATTTCAATCTCCCCACTTTCTAGCTGTGTGTCCATGGGTGAGAATCCTAACCTCTCTGTGCCGTAGACACCTTCTCTATCAAATAAAGATGACCATCATATTTCTTTCCCGGGAAGGTGGGGACCAAACAGGGTGATGTGTGGGCCAGCTACCCACCATGTCCAGGTGGGTAGCTGGCCAACAATGCAGCAGCCACTCTGGTGCTGCCGAGAACGTCTTCATCAGTCACCAGCTCCTCCGTGCTCTCAACGAACTCATTCTTTATGGCCATGGGACACTGGGATTTGCCAAATCCTTGTCCTCAGAGTGACACCCATGGCCATGCTTTGGAGCTTGCCCTCAGCCTTGCAGGCTCAGCCCCAAGTCCCCCTCCTTAGGGATGCCTTCTCTGAATTCTGTCTCCTAAACTGGGATCAGATCCTTGCCTCTCTCTGGTGAGAGTGTTCAGTCTTCTCCTAAGCTCTCAACTTTCCACTGTCTGGGACTCAAAAAATGTCCTCTGTCGGCTCATGTGTCTGATACTTAGTGTCCACGTGGTGGCTATTTTAGGAGGTTCTGGAATCTTCAGGGCTACGACCCTTTAATACAGTCCCTCATGCTGTGGTGACCCCAACCATAACATTATTTTCATTGCTGCTTCGTAACTGTAGTTTTGCTGCTGTTATGAATCATAATGTACATATCTGTGTTTTCTGATGGTCTTAGGTGCCCCCTGTGAAAGGGTTGTTTGATCCCCAAAGGGGTGAAGACATACAGGTTAAGAGCCACTTCTTTAGGAGCTGGGGCCTGGCTTCAGAAAATAGGTCACTGGGAGTATGTTTGGAGGTTACACCTGGTTCTGTTTCCTCCTCACCCCCTCCTTCCCACCACCATGATGTTCCAGCTCAGGGCCCTGAGACCGTGGACTGAACTCCCTGAGACTGTGAGTCCACATGAGCCTTTCTTCTTTTAAGTCATTCTCCATGGTAGCTGTGTGAGAGTGATGAGAGCCAAGAGCTGATGCCCTCCCGACAGGGGAGCCCAGTCTGTCTTGCCCACAGCTGTTTCCTGTGGAAAACACAGTGCCCGTCACACACTTGAAGATTATAGAGGAAGACAATAGCTCATCTAAAAGATAGGCTGTCAATTGTGTGACTTCAGAATGAATGATGGTGTCACTGAATAGAAAGAAGCAAGGCACCTTGGCCATTCCTCGACACCCCAACTCAGAAGCCCCAAATGACCTTGACTCCAGGTCCACTTTGGCTTCCTCGTAATTGATGTACAGCTGAGGAGTCACTGATTTGGGGGCCAGTCAAATAAAATCAAGGAAGAAAAACAATCTCAAACTTCCTGGACTTGTACATTGTGGTGGCAGAAGACTGTAGCAAAGATTAGTTTCTGAAGGGCAAAGGGTGGCAGCTTGTATGCTGCAGGCTTAGTTTAAATATACTGTCCTACATTAGCATAGGCATTCCTATTTCCTGAAGTATGTCCAAAGAAACAAGAAGGCTGTGTCTTGTTTGGAGTGTTTTTATTTTAGACATAAAAAGAATGTGTGTCCGTGAGTGGGGGTGTGTGATACACACACGCATGCATGTGTGAGCAGGAGCAACTGTCTGACTGTTTTCCCTTCTTTTAGTTATAATCCTGATCTGCAGCTCAGAGGATGCAAAAGGCATTCTGCAAGCTGCCGAGAACCTGGAACTCAACACTGGAGAATTCGTTTTCATCCTTTTACAGCAGCTGGAGGTAGGGGTCTATCTACGGTCAGTGGCTCCTTAGTGAGAGGTGATGAGAAGGGCCAGGCAACAGGATGTGTATGGAAACCAGGTGCTCGGTACAGCTCAGTACTCTTGAAGGTTTATCTTAACACCAGGGCTGAGGGCCCGGGGGTACAGCTTAGCTGTGCTTGACACACAGATGTGAGTGTCACCTTGGTCCTCAGAACCCACTTTAAAAGGCTTGGTGGCCCACATTTGTAATCCCTGTTCTGGGGAGGTGAGGAATAGATTGCTTCCTAGGACTTTATTGCTACCCAACCTAGCCTGGCTGGTGAGCTTCAGGCCTGTGAAAGACCCTGCTCAAATATACAAGAGGATGGCATCGAAAACAATACTCAAGGTTGACCTCTGGCCTCCGCACATACACACACAGGTGCACATGCTTTTGCACACACACACATACACATATGCACACATGCATCACATCAGCATGAATGTATACACACACACACACACACTAAAGTAGACTAAAACTGAACTGAAAGCATTTACCCAGAGTTTCTCACCACAGTTAGTGAGGGACTAGACGGGCTGGAATGAAGTTAGCTGGCCTCTGCCCTCCAGGTGAGCACACACCAGCCAAACTCTCATTTCTGCCAGGTACATAAGCCTGTCTGAAGGATTGCAAGTGGCTCTCATTTCTCTTCTTCCATAGATTTCCCCATGTCCCTGTTGAACCTAACAAAGGCCTGTAGAGGCCATCGCACAGGCCCGGTGAGGCAGTTCTCGGGTGGTTTGGTTCTTTGATTAATGGTGGACGAAGCTAAAGAACCACACACTTTCCACACTACTGTTAGATATTTGACCTGGGCTGCTGCAAGGCAGATGTGATCATCCTTCCAGCTTTTAAAACCAAGACTTAGGTAAGGCGAGTGGGATGCCCCATCTGTCATCTCAATGCTCCCGAGTGGCACTGCTACTGTTTCAGACTGAGTCTTCGGTTGTTAGCTTCTTTTACAGAATAAGAAGTGGAGGCCCAGAGAAGTAAAGCTAGCTTACTCACTGCTGCACAGCCACCCCGAGAGTATTCCAGCCCTCAGTGCCTGCACATACCACACTGAAGACATCCAGAAGGACCACTTGCCTTTCTTTGGCTGTGTGTCCACGGTGTAGTTTCCAGTAGGTTTTGCTTTCTAAATGAGCTTGTTTTATGTTGTCAGAAGGAACTAAAATGGGCAAAGTGGATGTAGAGAGGGATAATAATGACCACATTTCTCTTCCTTTGTCAGGAAGTATTAGATGGCAAAACTGCCTCTGATTTTGTTGCTTGGCAGCTGGAAATCTCTCTCTCTCTACTTTCCAGGGTATCTGCCTTCCTCCTTGTTATCACTACCCCCTTTCTTCACTTTCCCCTCATCTCTCCTTACAAAAAGATGATGAAAGGAGAGGATGGGGCAGCCCTTAGGATTTTCAGAGAATCCCTTCCAACCCTTCTTTCTTCCTCATAAAACTCTGATGGTCAATTCCAACTGCTTTAGAGTATAGGAAGAACAGAATGTAAAATAATATACCATGAAGTATCTATATAATTGAGTTCATCCTGCATCTTAAAACAATGCACAAATCCATTTGATAAAGCCAGTTAGGTTTATGTTGCAAAAAATCAGTCTGCAGATCAACAGTGTAGTGTAATATCAGTTATGTAAAATATGTATATTTTGTATGTATACACACATACACAAGCATGTGTGTTTCTGTCCTTGCTTATACTAGGGAATGTGGGATACACTCAGTGAGTGGTATGCACTTGTCAGAGTAGGGATAATAATATAGATGATAGCAATGGTGATCAACACTGAAACCACAAGGCGAATGGAGACCAGACAGTCCTAAATGTGTTCAGCTTGGCAATCTTTGCTGTTACCGAGGCTTCTGTGCCTTAGCTGCTTGGTGCCCCACCATGTTCTTCCCTCTTTGCCCTTTGGCTTCCTTCCTGCTGCCTGTGTGCTCACTAGCAAACTCGGACCCAGTATTGCAGAACCTTCTGGAATTACTGTATTTCCAAGAATTAGCCTACAACAGTTAAAGTTCTGCGCTGTCGTGAATGTAGTTGGACTCCATGGGTCATTTCCTACAACATGGTGAAATTTACTTTGTTACTTTTCAGGACAGTTTTTGGAAAGAAGTACTGACAAATGGCACAGTGACAGGCTTCCCCAAAGTCTATGAGTCAGTGTTTCTCATCGCCCCCAGCTCCTATGGAGAAGGCCCTGGTGATGATGACTTCCGGAAACAAGTCTACCAAAGGCTGAGGAGGCCGCCCTTCCATAGCTCCATTGCCTCCGAGGAGCAGGTCTGGTGTGGTTTGTGCCCAGTTGCTTTTGCATTTATCTTTCTTATTTCTGCCTGTCCCCCAACCCCAGTCCCTACAACCCCTCACCACACACACCATTGTCTTCCTTCCACAGCCCAAAGTAAACAGTGGTTTGGTGTTCTTTTGTGAAGTCTGTACCCATGACCACAGAGGAGTCGGAGTTATCAGATGGAAAGCTACTGGCCTTTGCTTTCTGCTATCTGTGGAGTCTTGGAGTGAATTACCTAATTTCCTCATAGCTGGCTTCCCTCAAACGCGAACTAGAATCATTAGTGGCATCTACCTTCCAGACTGGCCCTGAGTGTCCGACAATGCACTATGTTGATGTAGCAGAAGAAACACCAGCGTGCCCTCAGGCTATTCTGATTGCCTTTGTCAGGAGGACAACAGGACTAATAGCCAGGATGGAACAGTCAGACATGGAGCCAGCACAGTTCAGATAGGCTCTGTCAGGACAGTCATGAGAGGGGTATCAGCCAGCAGGAATATGAGTCTATGTAGAAGAAGAACAACATGGGAAATATTTTATAGAGAATGTTGGCAAGAGAGAAAGCTACCTCCACTCTAGGGCCATGCTGAGACACTGAAGACAGGGCTTGATGAGGAACGAGGCTGAGACTGTGGCTCCTACCAGGGTGAGAAGATGCTTATTTCTAGGTATTGTTCTGTTCCTGCTGCTGTAGGGGAAAGACGCCTAGCACTGAAGAGGCACTTACACTTTTGTTGATTAAATGAGCAGGTACTGAAGACCTACTATGGACATCTGGCCTGTAATAGTTTACCTATTCTCCCTCATCTAGTGCTACAACTGTTTCATGAGTCATTTTATCTCTATATTATAAATAAGTGAGCTGAGGTCTGGAGAGGATACCGAACTTGCCTCTACTTACAGCCAGAAAATGGCAGACATTCTAGCTTCTGAATATTTCACTTAAGGCACACACCCCCTCCTAAAGAATAGCTGATAGCATCTAAAGCTGGTCTTGGTCTGAGCATGTGATCCAATTGGACAACTGGGGCACAAGGAAAGGCAAAGACTTGGACAGCTAGGCTTGATATCCACCGGGCATGGCCGTGAGGTATCCCCTGCTCCTCTCAGTTAGGCTGGGCCTGTGCTCAGGTGATAGAGAATGATTTCTTCTAGTTAGGTGGTGGAAGCTGGGGTGTATGAACACTGTGTTTGCTTCTCTCTTTGAAGGTGAGCCCTTTCTCTGCCTACCTCCATGATGCCCTCTTACTCTATGCTCAGACTGTGGAGGAGATGATCAAGGCTGAGAAAGACTTCTGGGATGGGCGGCAGCTGATTGACACCCTAAGGGCTGGCCAGATCACACTGCAGGGTAAGGTGGTCTCTGAGCTCAGGCTTCTTAGCCTCATCCCTGTGGACTTGGAGGTGCTGGGCATGCGCTATAGGCTTCCTGTGTTAGCCTCATCCCTGTGGACTTGGAGGTGCTGCCATGCGTCATCAGCTTCCTGAAAGTCCCACCTTGCTCTGCTACAGAATCTTTGTCATCTCAACAAGATTCCAGTCTTCCACAGGGTACACGGGCTGAAAGCCTCCTGACTGCTCTGAGTTTCCCCAGCTGGGGGAAGAGGCCTCTGAGCATTTTATCCTCTTCTCCTGGGCACTCTTTCTCACTGCTTCTCCTACTAATACCCTCCTAAGGAGACTTGCCTGTACAACATGTCTAAACAGCAAGGCAGTGTAACATTCCAGGAAGAAAGGGGCACCAGGCCCCTAGCCCTGAGTTGCATGCCAACTCGGCCTCCCTTGGCTCTGGAAGGCAGAATTGGGACCCTGTGATAGGACTGAGATTCTCCTTTTCTGAGACCTGATGTGTGTGGTCACCAAGGTCACAGCCAAGGCACACAGTAGGTACTTCATAAATGACAATATTGTGTTCTGTCTGCAGCGGAACCTAACGTCAGGGCATGGCTGCTGGTTTGGGGCATGTGATAGGCATTCCCTTTTCTGAAGTCTCTCCTTGATAAATGGAGTTTAGCATGTCCCAAGCAAGGACAGCAAAACTGCTGGGTGGAACTGAGCACCCTGCCAAAGCTTCGGCGTTCACCAGAGTCAGAAGGAAGGGCCCAGAGAGAAGGAACCTGTGTCTCGGGGATGCTTACAGGGAGGAACCAGCATGCAGGGACCAGAGAGGCTGCTGTCTGTCTTTCATGCCCACCAGCTACTGCCCTAGGGACATTCAGCTTCAAGTCACCATATGTTCTGAATCCATAGGAAGTGGTTTTTATGTGAAATGCATGCAAGATGGCTTCATTTTTCCCCTCAACACTGGATGAGCCTCCCCATTTGGAGCTGAAGAGATAGTTCGCCTTCCCAGTGTGACTCTGCTTCTGAGTCACCTTCTGCCCCTCAGTGTACATGTCGACCCTAGCTCAGATTCTGTCAAATGGCAGAACCTGCCGTCCATGTCTGGTGGGGAGTGGGTATGCCCATCAGAGCTGGTACGGGCTGCTGTTTTCAGTCACGAGTGTCACTTTGTCCTTACCTGGTATAATCTCTCTTTTCAGGAATCACTGGCCCTGTGCTTTTGGACTCCCAGGGGAAAAGGCACCTGGATTACTCAGTCTATGCTCTACAGAAATCTGGAAACAGATCCGTTTTTCTTCCTATTCTTCTTTATGACAGTTTTCAGAAAGTGATCAGGTATTGGTGGTCACTTCTGTAAGATTGATCATGCTGTAAGAAGAAGCTGGGGTGGGGGGACCAGAGCTTTGGAATCCAGTTCTAGAGTATCCCACTACACAGTCTGCTCACTAAGGTATGTCCAACCAGTGGCCCATGGGCTGCATATGTTTCGGGACAGTTATTGTTCAGCTGGAAACCCCAGCTCACTCTTGCTTGATTTGGAAAGTTCCATTCCTCTCTCTCAAACCAGGCCCTCTCAGAGAATTTCCGAGAAAGAAAAGGCACCAAAAAGCCCAGATACCCATTGTTGGTGGCTACGGCAGCTCCTCCCCTGAAGTTGCCAGCAGCCCGAGTCCCCGCCTAAAGCGCTCAGCTTTTGACCATACCTGGACACAAACCCAGCTTGTGGCAGACAAATCATCACCTTGCCTACAGGCAATATAAGCTCCCTGCTTTAGTTCGGGGTGTGTGACTTCTCCTGCCTCCATCTCTGGGGCTGGAGAGCTCACCCAGGAGTTGCTTTGCTCAAATAAACCTGTTCTTTTACTTTTTAATTCAGCTTAATGTGGCTTACTGTGTCAGCCGAGACACCTATTGTCATGATACAGAAAACCTATTAGTTATGAATGCAGCCCAATATAATACTGTAAATGCACACAAAACATGAGGCACTTTTTGATATATATGTACACACACACACACAATCAATTCTTCGTTTGTGCTTGTGTTTTTCTGGACATAGTCTCTCAGTGTAGCCCTGGCTATCCTGGAACTAGCTCTGTAGACAAGACTGGCCTCAAACTCACAGAGATTCACCTGCCTCTCCCTCCTGAGTGCTGGGATTAAAGGTGTGCGTCACCACCATCCAGTCAAAATCAGTTCTTGGGCATGGACTTTGTAGATAACAACATCCTGCTACTATGTCAGAGCTTCTGAACTCACAAAGGTCAACTTTGGGGCTTTAAGGTGGTTTTGCCCAGATTGTGGGTATGGACTTTTCCGGATGCCGGGGAGAACACAGAAACGCAGTACCCCAACTGTAACTCCATAGGGGTTTTGCCTCCTTTGACGCCCCAGCTGAATCCCATTCCCAGTGTGTTCAGAAGTCCTGAGCCCCCAAGGCAGTGAATCATGGGGTCACCTACAAGCCCAAGCTCACTCACATTCAGTAAAACAACTCACCTATAAATCTGCCTCCCTGAGACTCATATGGACATCAGGGCCCTGTGCTGTGCTGGGCTCCCAGTACCAGGAACTCCTACAAAAATCCATTGTATTGTTTTCTCAGCTACAACCCAATGAGGAAATGAAAAGGAATGCTAGTGCTTAATTCAGTGTCCACCTGTCTACTGCCACCAGCCCAGATTCCATGTGAGACATTTCCCCTCCCTTATTCTTTGAGAAAAGTTAAGGTCCAGAATAGGCCAGCACAGAAACAAAGTAACAAACCAAATCCTCAGTTTGATAGGAAGGGGTGCAGTCCATGCAGGGGGCAACATTTGGTCTGTGAACTATCAAAATACCTGCTATGCCAAGCACGGCTGACACCTGTAGCATTGGCTCATGACCTTTTAGTCAAAAGAGACATGGTTTAAGTTACAAGATGTGGAAGCCATTCTACCTGGAAAAAAACAGAAGACATTGCTTTCCCTGAATTACATGGCTGGAGGCTAGATATGAAGTTTGAAGAGCCTGAGGGAGGTAGAAAAACACACGTCAGGCCAGCAGAGGATTGAATTAGTGACCAGAGCCTGTTTGCCTTGTTGTTGTTGTTGTTTGTTTACATTTACTCCTCTCTGGGCATTCATGCATGAGGGACATGTTCATATGCATGCATGCATGCATGAGGGACATGTTCATGCCATGGCATGACTGTAGCTACAAGGACAACTTTGGGCAGTTGGTTCTGTCCTTTCATTGTGAGAGTCCCAGGGATTCAACTGGGTCATTAGACTTCACAGCAAGGGCCTTCACCCATTGAGACATCTCTCTAGCCCCCGTTTTGTTGGTTTTTTAATGTATGGCTCCGCTGCTCTTGTTGTATGTGAGGTGAAGACAAGTAGAGTAAGTGCACTGAACACGGACCTTTGTCTTTTCTGCTTTAAAGACCCTGGAGGAATGTCTCAAACATCTCTTGGCGCCATGGCTCCCTTCCTGAAGACAGACCCAGCTGTGGAGTTCACAACAAGCTTTGCAAACCTGAGCCTTCTCCTGTAGCAGGTGGGAGCTGGGAGAAGGTAGCAGGGACGGCCTCTCAGCAGCACCGTCGTTAGGGCCAGAAAGCCTTTCTGTGTGAGAGACGTCCCATGCTTGTGGACAGTGAGAAGTAGCAACCTGCTAGCTGGAACTGAAAGTGTTTTCAGACACCGTCAGTACCGCCCAGGGGCACCACTGCCCACCTTCCCTGTTTAGAGCCAGCACTATAAGGAACCTCTTGAGATGTGAGTCCTAGAACTCTCTTCAGGGAGGTAGAAGCAGTCCAGGCAGGAGGATGTGGCTGAATAACCAGTTAGGAGCCGGGTTTTGAGTTAGAGAGGCTGTGCCGGTAGAACAACATTATGAGAATGCATAGTAAGTGTTCAACAGACATGTTGGAAGTCGTTACTGTGTTCTTACTATAGAAGTTTCTGTCAACAAAAAATGAGGCTACTATATCTATGACATTATCTTTAGATTTTCTATGAAATTCTTGCCGCGGTAGCTGGGGTGGGCTGGGGTGGGGGTGGGGCTAGCATAGTGGGATCCCAGCAGAGCCAAGTCTGAATGGCTTCAGCATGTCACAAACTTATACCACATCTGGATAGCCTTTGAGACACCTGCTTGGCAGGGATGTGCTTACCTCTGCTCATAGGTGGGCCTGAGTAACGATTGCCTCTACCTCCAGGTATGACCACACCTGCTGTGATTCTCACAGCCACACTTCTGGCTCTTGCCTCAGTAGCTGCCATTGTAGGTCTGGTGTTACAGATGCTGAGAGGAAAAGTACAGAGCCATCATGGAAACACCTGGTGGCAGATTCATTACGACAGCATCACTGTTCTGCCCCAGCACAAGGTGAGGCCACACACTTTCCTTTGGACTTGCAAAGGGGACTTGCTAGGAACTCATGAGAGCAAGGGGGTGACTCACTGATGAAGTGAGCACTCAGAAGAGTCTTAAGACCTGAGTTAAGTTTCTAGGCTACATTTATCTGAGAACACTACCCTGCCTCCCCAAAACTCAAAACTTTTTTAACATTAAACATTTTTGTTTATATCATACATCCATGTATCCATTAAGTATAATGTATCCATTATATCATACATCCATGTATCCATTCTTTCCCAACTTCATGCCCCCCAACACTAAGTCCATATGCGAATGTATGTGGGGTCATGGGGAGCCTACTGGTGGCCACCTTCTCCACTCCAAGAGTGACTCCCTCTTTCTTCCTCAGCAGCCAAAGCTTCCAAGAGCGCCTCTGTGTTTCATGTTGGATTTTTTAACTGGCTTGATCTCGTGTTGGGCTTGTGCTGGTAACCATGGTGTCTGTGAGTTCACCAAGGCCAGCCTTCCGCTCATCCAGCCCTTACATTCTTTCAGCCCCCTCTTCCACAATGCTCCCTGAGCCTCGGGAGGGGAGGTTGATGTGTGCTTCCTTCCATTTGTGACTGAGTCTCAGCTTTGGACTCTTTGGAAATGACTGGCAGCCCTCTGATGCTCAACTCTTCTGTGGGGGTTCCTGTGGAGCATCTGGTCCTGTCCAAAACAGTAACCCCTTTAACTGCCAATGAGTGCTACAATCAGTTCATTAGCATAACAATCATAGAAATCTACCATCCAGGGTAGCCCAGGCACAGCTCAGACCTCCAGGATGCCCCAGAGAAAGGCAGAGGGATGTCTCCATGTAAGGTGGAAGCCTCAAAATGGAGAGTAACTTGAAGGCTTCTGAGAAGAGCTGCCATTTAGGAAGAATGACTTGCCAACAGTGACAAAGAGAGAAGTCACACAGAATGTGTCGGGATACCAGAATATTAGAACATGTCATGCTGAAGGCTGGAAAGATTGGTACCAAGTCTGGGCGATTTCAGGGTCCTGAAACCAAGAGATGGGCTTCTATTAGTCAGTTACTTCCAAATGTCCCCAGGGATTGGAGTCTCCTCTTCCCTCTCCACACACAGAGCTGTAATCTGATTTGCTCGGTTTTGTATATTAGGGTGCCATTAATATTCACTTTAAACAGGAGTAGGCTCCTGTGCTCTGTGGGTGTGAAGAAATGCTGGAAATATTAAACACAGAGGTAACCCAGCCTCACTCAGGAAAACAGCTCCATCTCCACCTCTACAACAGGCAGTCTGGCCTTAGAGCCTGTGCTGCCCCTGGAAGGGCTGAGGCCAAGAGTGAGGCATTCAGCAAGCAGGTACATTGTGGATCAGAAAGATCAGAGTTCAAGGCCTGAACTCTGTTCCCAGGTATTGACTATGTAACCTCATAATTCATCCTCTTTATCTACAAAATATAGCATCCTGTGGGTACTAGGCCATGCTGCTGAGAGCAACCAGGTTGTGTTTTGTTTTCCAGCTGTCCCAACGAGGCACACCTGTGTCAAGATACAACATTAGTAATGCGTCTACTGTGAATATTTCTGCAGATTATAGCTCCTTTGCCAAGAGCCAACGGGGTGAAGAGATGTTTTATGCTCCTGTGGGGCTTTACCAGGTACTCCTGTGCATATGAGTGTCAATGTGGATTTCTGTCCCATTCTCCAGTTGAATTTGGTCAGGCCGGGCTTTATGAATACAAGAACGTTCTCCAAGCAAAATCCTGGGTGGTTTCGTGTCTCTAGATTGGTGTTTCTCTAACTTTGAGAACTGAAACACAGTAAATTTTTAAAAAATACAGGAAAGTATGCACCAATACTACGTCTTACTTTAAAAAGAACTTAAGATATGTTTCTAAAGGGAAGATTTTGGGTCAGCAGGATGGAGGCTGAGATTTTGCATTTGCCACAAGCTCCCCTGTGATTCCTGTACAAGAGACTCAATCAGACTTAGAACTCCCAGTAGAACCTTCTGTGGTGATGGCAATATAGCCCCTAGCTATAGGTGACAGAATTCTAGTGTTTCCAGGGGAGCTGAGCGTTAGAGGTAATTACATTTAAATAACTAAGGAGCTTTGGGATGGCTCAGCCAGGAAAGCTTTCTCTGTGTAAGCGCATGGACCTGAGTTTCAATCTCCAGCACCCAAATCAAACAGCAATTGGGAGGCAGCATGTGCCTGTGACCCCAGCACTGGACAGGTGAGACAGGCTTATTAACCAGCCAGTCTAGCTGAACCCAGAAGCTTCAGGCTCAGCATGAGACCCAGTCTCAAAAGTAAGGCGGACACGGACAGATGAGAACACCCAGCACTGACTCTGGTAACATATGCATGTCCAGCTACACACACACCATTTGAATAGTCCCTTGCAGTTAGGGGCAAACTTAGTAGGTAGCCCAGTCTCAGAGTGTGGATTTCTTTATCCGGGACTTTAATGACTCTGTGCTGGGTACTGATACATCTGCTGTGTAAAACTGGCAGCTATTGAAGCGCAGACATCACTTCCCCCACCCTTTCTCAGCCGGCCTGGAATGCCCCAGAGCACATGCTTAGTCACCCTTTAAGAGCTCAGCTCCCTTTGGGGAAAGTTAAATAGGCCCTGGGAAATGGAGGCAGAAAGTGCCAAGCAAAGCCATCCCTGACCATTGCTCTGAAGTGTGGTTTCAGTTTCTGGCAGTGTCCTGTCCGCTCTGTCTTCTCCACCCCAGCTGGAACCCTCTCACTACCCTTCAGGTTTTAGTACGGGCATCACTTCTTCCAAGAACCTTTTCCTCAGTCCCACAGGTGTCCCCTCCTCCGTAGGAATCCTGTCTCCATCCCAAATCCTTCGCAGTTGCTTCTACACTCAAAGAGGCGGACCCGGGATGATATTCAGCTGGTCTGACTGGGCCTTGTCCTTCCTCATGTTTGCAGACTACATCCTTCCTTCTAATCAGCTCCTCCCTCATTATTGCATGGTTTTGTGCTTGGGGATTGAGTGACTCTAGAGGCAGACCCAGTAGGTAACAAAAGTGAGATCTGCCGTTTCACAGAAGCTTCATGTGCCAAGTGTTGCTTTAACTGATCCCAACCTTCCCCAAACCACAAAAGTTTGGTGGTGGTGTCCCCTGACATGTAGGGGACGAAAGAGAGGCTGGGAGAAATTAAACTGAACTGTCACATGGGCTTGAACTTGGCACCTGACTCTAGATTTAGGGTGTCAACTCACTGTTTCCTTGAATGATAATAAGACGTAGACGAGATATTCCGATCTGGCTGCACCACTACACACGTGCCACCCTGGACAAGCTACCCAACCTCAGTGATCCCATCCAGAACGGGGCCAACCACAGCTACCGTGCAGGGCGGTGTTGACAGCTGATGGAGACCTCACTGCTGAACAGCCAGAGTCCTAGACCTGCCGCAACACATGGCTTTCGTCTCCGTTTAACGTTTCTGACTCATCCAGGGTTAACTTTGGGGCTAGAGAGATGATCAGTGGTTAAGAACAGAGCGAGATCCAGGACAGGCACCAAAACTACACAGAGAAACCCTGTCTCGAAAAACCAAAACAAACAAACAAACAAAAGAACACTGGTCACTCTTCCGGAGAACCTGGGTTGGATTCCTAGCACACACATGACAGCTCACAACCACCTGTGACTCCCACCCCAGGGGATCTAACGCCCTCTTCTGTTCTCCTCAGACACTGCACACATGTGGTGCACAGACACACACGCAGGCAAAACACCTATGCATTCAAAATGCTAAAAGAGAAAAAAAGAACTTCATACTTTGTCTCCGATTCCAGGGAAATCGCGTGGCCCTCTGCTATATGGATGACGGAGCAGAAGCACGGCTTAAGGAGCCAACTGTGCTTCAGGAAGTCTGGCTGGTGAGGCTCCTCTCTGCCCTTCCGGCCCTCTGTTCCCACTGTGAGAAGTGGCCTCCCTCCCAAAGGTTCAATGACAGAAGGGTGTTTCTCCAGCTTGATGTACTACTTCAGAGTATATCCTTCAGAGATTACTCCTTCTCTGCGGCAGGGGCTTGGACCTCAGACTCTCGGCCTTAGACAGGAACCTGAGGTCTGGCTCCCTCCTACCTCTACCTACCTCCTTAACTTTTCCTGGCCTTTTTCAGCCCTTCATCCTCTGTCTGTGATGATTGTCTGCTTCCCTTTGATGCTTTGCCAATGACCTATCACATGCTGGCATTCACAGCCACACCCAGGGAAGCAATGCAGGGTCCACCTGGGACGATGAGGTGTAATTACTAGCCATGGCTTGGACTGGTCTTTGATGACCCCCTGGTTTGTTTGCCGGACTCCCTGGGTTTACCTCCTAGCTGTGCCATTTGTCAGTTGTATCCCCTTCAACAAGCTACTTCACCTTTCGGGCATCTGTTCCTCCGCCTGTAAAATGGAAGGAGTTCTTCTCTCCTAGCATCTTGGCAGTTAACTGAAAGCAGACGAAGCACACAGTATGATCACTATGCAAGGCACTCTCCATACATAATGATATTGCCACCATTATTTCCAGATGTGTGAATTAAAGCATGAAAACATCGTCCCCTTCTTTGGCGTTTGCACAGAACCACCTAACATCTGCATTGTCACCCAGTATTGCAAAAAAGGAAGTCTCAAGGTAAGCAAAAATATTAAGTCTTATGTCGGGCTTCATTAGACAGTGAGTGGGAAACCTTGTCTATGTCCCTCCCATTCATCCATGCATGGTTCCTTTTTAGTCTCATTGAAAGTCCTGAATTATCTTAGCCTTCTTCCCAGGATCAAAGTCGTGTGACTCCACCAACTATTGGTTTCCTTTGCTCTTGGTGAAAACTGCATGAACTTGATTCGTTATATAATGTCACCCCTCTTCTTGAATCCCACTCCTCCTCTGGCACATGGCCATCAGTTTTCTGTCAGGGAAAAGACATGTTGGTAGAATTCAAGACTGTATCCTTTCTCCACACTGAGTGAGACTATGCAATCTTCTGTGAAGATTTCCACTTACATGTCACATGTTCCTCTTTACAATAGTTTCAGCTGAAAGGACATGAGTGATATCATCTTCTGTCCTGCTCCATGTCAGAGGCATTGATCACTGTGTGTCAGCTTAAGTCTGGGTGATATTGAAATAACTGTGTTTTCTAGGATGTTTTGAGAAACTCCGATTATGAGATGGACTGGATATTCAAGCTCTCATTTGCATATGACATAGTCAATGTGAGTACAAAATAAACTAACTTAAAGAATAAATATCATAGCAATTTTAAGTTTTCCTCCATGCTGAGTTAAATCTTTGCTGGCTCTCTTTAAATCTCTTTAAATGGAATGACTACAGGTTAAATTTGATCACGTCAATCAGATGTTCCATGATTTTTTAATTCTCTAATCACATGTCAATATGGAGGGAGAAAAGTGCTTTAAACCAAAGATGGAATGAATACCAGGCTTGCCCAATTTGGAAAGAGCAGGGCATTTAGACTTTGGCAAGAACTTCTTGTCCCAGAGAGAATTCAATCACCAGACCACAAGTTGAGCTGAGGAAGATATGCCCGTCTTCTCTCTAGCTCTTGAGTCCTTCCCAAGAACCTGGGGATCAGTACTACAAAGGTAAAAATGTGGGGCGCAGGTGTAAACATCAGAGGGTGAGAAAAGCATAGTTTTTACTTGGGGCACAGGGGGCTATGACAGCTGTAGTTGAGGGAGAATGATAATAACTGTAACAGCACACACACATTTCCCATACCACATGATGCAGCATGAAGAACTAGAGATTTCTGCTATGCTTTATAAAAGGGAGGAATACAGTCTCCCATATAGGTTCCCACCAGGGTCTGGCAAGGATCATTCAGAGGAGGGTAGAGAGAGATCCATTTCTTCCACGGAGGTAGGGAGTCTGCAGAGTGAGTGGCTAGATCCAAAAGCCCAGATAACTCATAGTAGGTGTACTATGGTGATGAGGGATGAGGAAGGCAAGCGTGTAGTTGAAAAGATGAGCTATGGAGTGTGCCATATCCAGGAGACAGGATCCAGCAACTCGAGGCTGCCTCCTTAAGCTGGACTAGCATGTAGCTGTCCTTGGTCTGCTGTGTACACCTCTGCCATTTAAAAGAACCAAGAAAAGCACCTGGAATTTTGATGTCTAGTTTCTTGAGTTCTTTATATATTTTGGAGATCAGCCTTCTGTCAGATGTGGGGTTGGTGAAGATCTTTTCCCATTCTGTAGGCTGCCATTTTATCTTATTGACCGTGTCCTTTGCCTTACAGAAGCTTCTCAGTTTCAGGAGGCCCCATTTATTAATTGTTGTACTCAGTGTCTGTGCTACTGATGTTATATTTAGGAGGTAGCCTGTGCCCACGTGTTCAAGGCTACTTCCCACTTTCTCTTCTATCAGGTTCAGTGTAACCAGATTTATGTTGAGGTCTTTGATTCATTTGGACTTAGTTTTGTGCATGGCTATAGATATGGATCTATTTGAATTGACAGCTGGGGAGCCTACATGGGACTAAACTAGGCCCTCTGAATGTGGGTGACACTTGTGTGGCTTGATCTGTTTGTGGGGCCCCTGGCAGAGAGACCAGGACTTATCCCAGGTACAAGAGCGGGCTTTTTAGAGTCCATCTATGGTGGGATGCCTTGCTCAGCCTTGATCCAGGGAGGAGGGGCTTGGTCCTGCTCCAACTTGTTATGCCAGCCTGTGTTGACTACCCAAGGGAGGCCTTACCCCCTATGAGGAGGGATGGGGGGTGTAGTGGGGGAAAGGGGGGAGCAAGAGAAGGGGAGGGAGTGGTAACTGTGGTTGGGATATGAAATGAAAAAAAATTAAATACAATAAGATGTAAAAAAAAAAAAAAGAAAAGAAAAGCACCTGGAAATAGATCCTAGAGAGGAAGGTATTTCAACTTACTCATGGTAGAAACTGTCAGAGCAACGTCCAGCCAGCATTCAGTCGTCAATAAACAAAGTCCTTAGAGGACACCCTGCTGGGCTTTGGAAGGACCACAAGCATGAAAGCTAAGCCCTGTCCTTCCTGAAGCTTGGGACACTGACTCACTGAATGTCCTTGCTAATCTATCCCTCTCTGCATTTTCCTGTAAGGGGAGTGCAATGTTGGTCTGGTTGGCTTCAAAACCTTCCCTTTCTCAAAGGTTTCACTGCCCTTTGTTTCTAAGGAACCAGGTTGGTCTAGTGAGACGCTGGCTCCCAGGATCTGGTGGAAAGCTGGTATCTTGTTGCCAAGCAAGGTAGACAAACATAGTCTTCTCCATGGTTATGTCTCCAAGGGCAATCCGGGAAAACTACTGTTATTATGGCCATAAACCTTGAATGAGTGTCTGTTAAAGGTTTATTTTACAATGTTGTATGATATTTTGTTTGTGTTCTGACAAATAAAGCTTGCCTGAAAGGTCAGAGAAGCAGAGCAGCCAGCCACTAGAGAGACTTCCTACCTCTAGAAAATCTCAGACAGACTTTTGACTGTCATATACCAATCATAAAACACAAGTCTTCTCTGGGCGTGTATTTGCCAGCATTTCCTCTGTATCGGGGAACAGGGAGAGAGAGAATGAGCAGAACTAAAGGGTTGAGTCTTTACTCTGGATCTGATTGTAGTCTGAGCATGGAAGGCATGGGGGAATGAGCCTCATTTCCTGCCCCCACAGCAACCGGATCAGTGGGTGATCCTTGCAAAAGGCTTTGGAAAACACAACAAAGTCTGCAAGACTTAAAGCTGGTCCTTCATTTCTAGCTAGAAGAAGCATCCATGAAGTCTGAGGATGAGGGACCGTTTGACATAGAAATTGGCTTAGAGATTTAGACTTTGCCTCTCTATCACATACTCAGACAACATCAAAAGCCATCTCTGAAATTGATTTGAGAGCTGAAGTATATAACGTGCTTAGCTTTGCAGCTACCCCATAACAGATATGTAATAAATGTTCATCTTTAGTACTAACATAATTATTAGTACTCTCATTTATAACTCTAGTATGGGTATTAAAAACTTCATTCTCTTATTGAAATCTCTCAAGAATTCTGTGGAATAATTCTGCTCTGTCTGAATATGGCACCTCAAGGTACATGTGCTAACAATGACCACTGATAGTCCAACTTGAGATATGTCTCAATTATGAAAGAAATTCACATGCAATTTGAAGTCGTAGTGAACAAAAAAATCCCACAGATTTTTTATGTTGGTTGTATTTTGGTTAAAAGATACCAAATTAAATTCACAGTATTGTTAAAATTATTCTCACTCATTTAGCTTATCTTAAGATGGCTGCTGAGAAATTAAAGACACACATGTGACTAGCCTTATGTTTTGGTCAGATGGTGATCTTACCCATTAGTAGTAGTAATTACTCCATTTTCAACAGGAAATAAAACGAGGCCTAGTCAGGTGAAGTCACCAGCCCAACTAGTAAGCGTCAGGTTGGGAGTGTGGATAGTTTGTCTTTAAAGGCTGCGCTTTCTCTCATGCTTCCTGCTAAGCACCAGTGAACACAAACAGGAGAGTCAGATGTAAGAGCCCTGGGGGACCTTCCAGAAATTTCCAGTAGAGCAAGTAGTACAAGTCATGGTCAGGTGGTAGTGCCTAAGTGCATGATATCTATCTTGTGAGTCATGGACACACTCGTAGTTCTGGTTGTTCTCTGACACTATGCATTATCATACCATTGGGAAGAAAAATAAAAACAAAAGTGTGCATGCCACCTTGTGGAGAGCACTGTGTTCCCAGAACCCCACCATCCCTAGGCATGTTGATTTTACACATGTAATGAGCTCCATGAAAGCCCTTGCCTTCTGCGGAGCACTTACACTGCTGTTTCCTTATTGTGAGGCAAAGAATGAGAACCTCTGTGAAATTGACAAGTCTACTGCCTGAGGCTGGACCAGCAAGGGCAGAAGGAAAACCTTGTGTGTCTGCCAGGCCAGGGAGAGCTCTGCACTGGGCTCAGGTCTCAGCGGATTGCACGCTTGCATCTTAGGCTGCTGTTGTGAACTGGGCTTCAGTTTTGCCATCTCAACAAGTGTGCTGCCCGGGTAAAGCCACCCTGTCTCCTGATACGGGGTGGGGCTAGGGACATAGCCACTCCCTTGGCCATTCCTACTGCTGTCTGTGTTAGCCCACATTTCCAATGCAATATTGGCCCTAGGGTTCTGGCGGGAGCAAGAGGGGCGCACAGCCTGTCAGCATCACTTGAGATGGTAGCTAAGAGGCTCAAGGCTCAGGGGTCCCAACCTTTAAGAATGGCTCCCTCAGATCCTCCTTACTGTGCCACCCAGCGCCTCTGAGCCAACCTGCCTCATCACCGCCTCCTTCCCAGCTGGCCCTGAGCCTAATGGGATCTTGTTTGCTCATGTGCAAGGGTGTTGGAGGAATGTGGTCCCTCCTCCTCTTTCTCCCACTGACCTCAACAGCCCACCAGAGCACTGGAAGCAGAGTGGAGCTGAGTGACTGACGAGGCTGTGAAGGCTGTGAAGCCTGGGGTGGTACCCGCTCTGTACCGGCCTCATGTGATCACTAAAACTGCTTTGTTCTTATTGTGAAGCAATGAATGAGACTACTAACCTGCCTCAGAAAAGGCTAAATATGACGACATGTGTAATGCACGCTTAGTATGAGGTGCTCATGAATGTTTATTGCTGTCTGGTTGCCCATCACAAACCAATCCCACAGTGTGAGGTTCCACAGAAGCCTGTGGCTAGCAGCCATTGTCTGTCTGCCTGTCACTGGCTTCTGTCCTCAGGGAGGGAGCTGGAGCTGGTCAAGGCCGTGGTTGGAATCTGACCTCAGAGTACCCAGCCTCCTCCATTACTGCTGCTGCGCTGCCTGGCGTGGTAACTTCTCTACCTCCCTCCACTCACCCGCAAGAAGAGGCCGCCATGATGATGCCACCCTCCTCTCTAGGATTGTTCAGGAGTGTTGCGTGAGTTAGTTTACATAAAGGGCTTGTAGTTACACCTGACAGTATTCACACCTGACAGTATTCACACCTGACAGTATTCACAGCTGACAGTTATCCTTAGGAGGAAAACCAGAATCCTATAGGGCCCTTGAAAGAAACACTGTCCTTTGGTATTCTCACCTGGACACCTGTTTCCTGAGGCAGGTGGGAGGGGCCCGGGATACCCAGGCCACCACAGGTTCACATGCTCTGTGACCTTGTACCTGGACATACTGAAGTTGTTAGTTTTCTGCCATCTTCTATTAAAATTCTAAAAATGGACAATTCAGAGATCCTGGCTGAAAATACCCAGAGCTTTCACAGCAGCACCAAACAAACAAACAAACAAGAAATTGGAAATGCTAATACATGCTCTTTCAGTGCCTCCCCAGTGGTAAGGAAAACAGGACAAAGACATTTGACCCTTCCCCTTTGACCTTCATCTCGCAGCTCCAAGTCCGCCTTGGGATATTACAGACAAATGCAAAGATCCATTTAACCAACCATGTCTCACGTATGATATTTTTTTTTCCCCTAAAAAGTTACTCCTTACTCCCACCTGTCTTCCTAAAATATTTTCTGTTTCAATCCCAGATGCTCTTTTGAGGCCCTCCCTGCCTATGGAAAGGCCCCAGTACTCTGGAAAAACACTCCTTCCTCCCCTGGCTGGCTGGCTGTTTTTCCTGCCTTGATGAGTCACAAGTATCTTCCACATTAAGCACTGTCTCCCCTAGTTGAGTACTCTTTTGCCTCTGGGCCCTAAATATTCAAACTCAGCTTGAGGCATAGATACTCTGCTGCTAACACTGGCTCTTAGATCTGAGGCCCAAGCATTGTGTTTGTTTTGTTACTAGTAACTTCCCCCTCTGCCTAGTAATAGAGCTGAGATTTGAACTCAGCTTCCTGACCATAGGATATTCTAATTTTAAGCCCCGTTTGCCTTCTTGGCTTCTTATTGAGGAGTCATAAGAAGTTTTCTCCCTTTTCTGCCTGGATTGGCTTCATAGTCAAGGAGCTGGTGGCTTTTCTAAAACAAGCACGGAGCTGGTGTGTCTGTGTGTTGCTTTGAGAAGCCAGCACCCTCTGGCCCTGTCTCCACGCTTACCATCATTCTTGCAGGGCATGCTTTTCCTCCACGGGAGCCCGCTGAGGTCTCATGGCAACTTGAAACCTTCCAACTGCCTGGTAGATGGTCGTATGCAAGTGAAGCTGTCGGGATTTGGGTTGTGGGAGTTCAAGCATGGCTGCACACACAGGATCTACAACCGGAAGACCACCAACCATTCAGGTAGCCACTGGCAGATTTTAGACCCACTTGCTGTAGGTTAAATAGTCAAAGGGTGTTTGTCCATCTTTGCTTTATGATGCTGCCTTGAAGGGGACCCAAGGGTAGTTTTTCCTTTCTAGGTGATGGAGTGAAGTCGTTCAGTCCATCCGTGGAGAGTGAGAAAAGAAATCGCCGTAGGGGTGGCATGACTCCACGGTGTAAGGCCTGGGTTAGTGGACTGGTTTTCATCTTGCCTTAACCGGGCCCTGAAGCCACCACTGCTCTTCTCTGCTGTCATCTGTATTTTCCCATTTCCATTCCATGTCCGGTGTCGATGATAAGGTCTGCAAGGTTGTCCTAGTCAGGGTTACCATCGCTGTGATGAAACACCGTAACGGAAAGCAACTTGGGGAGGAAAGGGTTTAGTCAACTTATGCTTCCACAGTGCTGTTCATCATCAAAGGAAGTCAGGACAGGAACTCAAACAGGGCAGGAACCTGAAGGCAGGAGCTGATGCTGAAGCCATGGAGAAGTGCTGCTTACTGACTTGCTCCTCGTGGCTTGCTCAGCCTTCTTTCTTATAGAACCCAGGACCATCAGCCCAGGGATGACCTCACCCACCATGGACTGGGCCCTCCCTCATCAATCGCCAATGAAGAAAATGCCCTGCAGCCAAATCTTATGGTGCTTCAATCTTTTCAGATGACTCTAGCCTGTGTCAAGGTGACATAAACTAGCCAGCATAGAGGCTGTTCAAAGATAACTTAAGTCCAGGCATGCACTGTCTCTTAGGCCAGACATGCTTGAATTTTTTCTTTCATGACCCTTTTCATTCAAATTTTTACGTGACTCCAGGTGTATAGCTATATGCAGTAGGCACACAAATGAAACATTTACTGATTTTTATAAATCACATAAAATTTATTTTAACCAATTATTTGATTTACATATAAATTTATCATTTAGTAAATAGAAACCATCTATTGTATCATGGTACTGGGTAAACTATGATGAACTTATCTGAGAGCATTCTCCTTGGTTATTTTCTCCGTGGTCTTTCATATGGATATTGTGAGCTTTCCCAGGCAGATACTCATAGGGTCTGCCATCCTATAGCTCCTGCAGGATGGAAGGAGTTGGATGTAGCTTTTCATCAAAATGGCACCCATTGTCTTGCAGAACTCTACTGGACAGCCCCAGAGCTGTTGCGGCTTCAGGAGCTGCCCTGGTCTGGCACCCCACAAGGAGATGTTTTCAGTTTTGCTGTTCTCATGAGGGACTTGATCCACCAGCAAGCCCATGGGCCCTTTGATGACCTTGAGGAGGCTCCTGAAGGTAAAGCTGGAGTGTGCTGCTCATGAGAAAGGGAATAGGGGCTTGTGTGTGGGGAGTGGATGGAGGGATGGAGTGGGAGGGAAAGAAGAGATCAGGGGACAATAATCGGAAGGTACTACCTCTACTTTGCACACACACACACACACACACACACACACACACACACACACACTCATGCATGCAAAATTATTAAAAGAACAACAACAACAACAACAACAAAAGATTGGTCTTTAGACTATCATCCTATCCAATGACTTTCAAAGCCTGAAGTTTCTGTGAATGTAGGTGGTTTCTTTAAAACCAGACTCCAGTTTCTAATTACTAGCTCAATGAAAGGGTCTCAGAATGAGGGCAGTCCCAAGAGTAGTAGCTCAAGAGTCAGCCAGGCACTCCTGAATTTGGAGCCAAGCCAAATGCACACATGCCACTGGCTGAGTCCAGGTGGAGGCCGCCTTCAGTCCTGGAAGTCCACTCCCATCTGCTCTTGGCCACAGGGGTCTGAGTGCACCATGAGAAAACTCCGTGGCAGTCAATGTGTCCCTCATGGTAACAACTGCAGGCTGGTCACACGGGCCTGTGTCTTCACAGTTGTGTGCTTGGGTTATAGACAAATGGTTATCTATTTGCTTCTCATGCTTCCCTACAAATAAGCCAGGTTCTATTTGCATAGCAACCCAGTGATTCTCACATTCTACCCGGTGCTGGGATAGCCCAGAAGTTTGCTAAAGCACAGACTTGCTGCTCTCCCCTACTCTGGCCCAGGTGTCTGGCTCAGTAGGTCTGCAGTGATGCCTGAGACTATACACTTGCATCAGCATCCCTGCTAAGGCACATTTGAGAAGAACTGGTCTTGGTCCTCCTTGTCTTTGGACCAGCAGCAAGAGTAGCACCTGGAAACTTAAGCAGCTCTGTTTCGAGCCACTCTCCAGAGCTGTTGTGGAACTATGGAAACAGGCCCAGAGTATTTACTCCACCTCTCCACCCCAGGCCAGTGTCCTGCCTATTTGCCAAAGACAAAGAATGACTGCTTCAAAGTAGCTAATACACTGTAGAAGTGATGGGATGGAAACAGCAGGCTGCATGTTGCTAGGTAACAAGCCTACATCCTCTCAGGCATTGTTATTGTCTGATGGACTCTAAATCCAAGGCAGTGGACAGCCCAGCTGTCTCTATCTCGGCTCCAGAGGCTGTTGCTGTCCCTCAGGTTTGAGTTTTACTTTGGGATATAAAACATAATTGCTTAAAGTACATTTTTAAGGAATTGTTTCAGAATATATTTTAGGTATTAAAATGTAGACTTACAGGCATAGCTCATATGCAATTGTGTTTTGTTTGGTGTTAGAGACAGGATCTCATTATGCCACTCCGGCTGGCCTGGAACTCACTGTGTAGACCAGGCTGGCCTGCAACTTGAAGTGCTCAGTACTACACATCCCCTGCTCAGTACTAAACACCCCCTGCTCAGTACTACACATCCCCTGCTCAGTACTAAACACCCCTCTGCTCAGTACTACACAACCCTGCTCAGTATGAGAAACAGATCCTTCTCCAAGCAGCCCTGGCTTCTTCTTTAGATGGTGCTACCTGGGCAGTAAGTATGTTGTTTGCTCCTGGAGTATTGTTACTTCTGGAGTATTGTTACTTCCAGCCCCTCTTCAGCAGATGGGAGTGTAGCTGTGTGTAGAAACCCATAGGTACACAATGAGACACAGTAGACATCTGCATCTCTATGAGCTAAGCCTGAGTTCATAGTGATGTGGCCAACTTGACCTCACCACCACTGTGCTTCGCTCCAGTCTCCATCCTGTGACCTCCGCCTCCAGCAGTGTGAGCCTGGCTCCTGGACCTCACAAGAAGCAACAAGAACATGGCTGTGGGTGGAAGAACTGTGAACAGCTCCTTTTTATTTTATTTTTTTATTTCAGACATCATGTGGGCCCAGACCTTTCCTCCACCCTACTTCAGCAAAGTCACACACACACAGCACAGTTAAACCCTTTTCTTATGGCCTGGGTCCCACTTCCAGCATTCCTCACGTCCTGGTTGATGGTGTTACCAAATATTCAATGCCCTTGTGGCCACCGTAACAATGTCAAACAGAATATGAACCCCTCCTCCCCACTTACCTCCCCCCAACCTCCGCAACCCCCTACAAAACTCACAGCCGCCTCCAGACTATAATTTTGCTTTTCTAGACTTGATTAACAGACCACACGCGTACACACCCTCTTCCCACCAGCTCCTTCTACTGAGCGGTGTGCACTCAGTGTTCACTTCTGATGCTGCCGCATACATAATTTTTATATCAAAATATATGTGCATTGTTCTCCAAGTATTTCCTTCTTAAGAGGAGGGAATGGAATCCTTGACAAACGTTGGTGGGAGTCAATGGAGAAGCGGAAGGAAGCAGGGCTACAACACTGGGCAGTCAGGGAGATGGCAGCATTTGTTCATTACAATGGCCTTCATGAAGCAGAGGATATAAAATTGTATGGAGCACACTTTGGAGAGCTGGCACCACGTGCCTCTCCACTTGGGAGGTCAGCCAGAGAAGTGCTACTTTCAAAAGCCTTGGTTTGGAAACTGATGTGTCATGTTTCCATTGGACTGTTTAATTTTCTAGACGAATCTAGAACACTTACGCACATATCTAGATTGTCCTGGAATTCAAATATGTTGTTTATTTTAAACTTTGTTTTCAAATTGGTGGGTCCCATCACCATTTAGACGGCCTGGGTTGAGCGGCAAAGCTTTGTAGCTTGTTCATCCAAGCCCCAAATGATTTCAGAAATCATCAGCCGCATCAAAGACCCCAGGGCACCAGTTCCACTTCGACCATCCCTGTTGGGGGATAAAGGTGATGAAAAGATCGTCGCCCTGGTGAGGGCCTGCTGGGATGAGTCTCCCGAGCAAAGGCCCACCTTCCCTTCCATCAAGAAGACGTTACAAGAAGCCAGTCCCAGAGGGTGAGTCAACTGTGTCATCGGTTCTTCCGTCTAGTCTTTCAGCCAAAGGAAATTGAAAAATATCCACGGCTATGACAGGTTCCAGGTGGATCGTCTGTCTGTCCTTCCTTCTCCTCCCAACACTTCCCTTCTATTCCATTCCTTCCCTCCCCCTCTTCTCCTCCCCCCTCCTCTCCTGCCTCTCTTACTCATCTTCCCCCCCCACCCCCGTCATCACGTACCCATTTCATGTCCACCGTACACAAAGTATGTTCTACATGCTGGTTAAAGTGCAGTGATAGAGTCTTCACTTGCTTTGTGAACATGAATCAGACATGAATAATGTCACTGCTCACTGGGCCCATTCAGACATCTCTAATCAGTTCAGGCTCTCTTTCCCAGGGAGTTTGGACACTGTCTTAGTGTTCTTTCAACTGTTATTCCAAGGATCATAACTAACACTTGTGGTTGGACTACAGGATAAAAATCATTCCCCAACTTTAGATTATCACTCATTTATGTTATTCTACAGAGCTGAGGATCAAATCCGGGGCCTTGTGTGTCTGGGCAAGGGGATTCCACTGAGCTAACTGCCAATCTTATAATTGGCAATTGACTTTGGGTTAAGCTTGTCTCTCAAATCCATTTTTCAATAGCAGCTTCCTACATATTAGGCTGATGGTATCATTTCTAAAGAAGTATTTATTTATGTGTATGTGTGTGCCTTCTTAATTTATGTGAACCAAGTGACTGTGTCAGTGGATGCCAGAAGTTGGTGTCCAATTTCCTGGAACTGGAGTTAGAGACAGTTGTAAGCTGCCTTTTGGGTACTGGGAACCAAACCTGGGTCCTCTGCAAGAGCAGAAAGTGCTATTAACCACTGAGCCACCTCTTCAGCCCCATGATAGTATCCTCTCTCTCCCTCCCTCCCGCAACTCCTCCCTCCCTCTTTCCCTTCTTTCTTCCTTCCTTCCTTTCTCCTCCCCCTCTATTTTTTTAAATTTTATTTTGAGATAAGATTTACTGTGTAGCCCTGCCTGGCTTGGAACTCGCCGCATAGACCAAGCTGGTCTTGAACTCACAGAAGCTTGCCTGCATTTGCCTCCCCAGTTCTGGGATTAAAGGTGTATGCCACCACCCTGTAAGACAAATTGCTGAACAATCTTATTAATAATAAAAAAAAACAGAGCCAGATATTGGGGTGAAAGCTGAAAGATCAGAGAAATAGAACAAGCCACAGCCAACCTCACTTCACCAACTCCTCAGCCCCCAGAGAGAGCTACTTCCTGTCTACCCATGTCTGTATGCCTTTCTGTGCCCTGCTGTCTTACATCCTCTCTCCACCCAGCTACATCATTTTGCTCTTTGCACCCAGCTCTATCACTTCCTGTCTGTCTGTACAGACCTCCAGACCTCTATGGTTAACTACTGGTGGGACTTTAAAGGGGTGTACCACTATGCTTGGCTCTGTACCCAGTGTGGTCTTGAACTCAGAGATCCAGATGAATCTCTGCCTCCCAAATGCTAGGGTTAAGGGTGTGTGCCATCACTGCCTGACCTCTATGTTTAATATACTGGCTGGCTTTTCCCTCTGATCTCCATGCAAGCTTTACTTATTACTTATAAAATATCACCACACCACCCCAGGCTTGCAGGTATAATTTTTAATATGTTGAAAGTTTAATTCCCCAGAGGTAGCTTGAGGAGGCAGAAAGAGCTCTGGCCTGAAAGTGTCTACTTCTAATTTTTCCATTTAATTTGGCATCTTTAACGTAACAGCCTGTGTTCTTTTCCAGGTTACAACAGAACTTTTAATTTCTAGTTTTTATTTTATTTTAATTGATATATGAAATATTGATAGTAATCATATAAAATATGATGTTTCAAAATATATATTACTTGTCTTATGGTCCCAACATTAGGACAAACTTATTTCCTACCTGAGTCTTAGCCTTCTCATCTGAAAGGGGAGAGAGTTAGGTGATCTCTTAGGGGCATGCTGAAACGGAGTCTAGACACGATCCATGTTGAGCAATCTGAGAAATGCCCTGTTCTGCAATCTGTACTTTTTCACTTTGTTGTAACTGTGGCATGGAGCATGCTGGGAAGTGAGGAAGAGCCATCAAAGGCTGTTGATTGTCGGCTGGCCACAAGATTCACCTCTAGGCATTTTATACACATTAACTCCTGGAATGTCTGCTGGCTGTCAGATTCACTCCCTAGGCATTTTATATACATTAGCTCCCAGAATCCCCAGAAAACCACATGCAAGTTACATTTTTCAGATGGGTAAACTGAGGCTCAGGGCTGGACACAGTACCGTCTTCCTGTGAAGCTTTGCCAATGTTGTCAATTCACTGCTGCCATGGATTGTCCTTCCAGAACAAGACAGAAAGGAAGTGTTTTCCTGGGCTATGTGTCTGGGAGTTGTGGCTCCACTGTGGCCCTGAGCTCCTGGAAAAGGATGCTAACACCTGCCTTCTTTTAAAGCCATGTGAGCATCTTGGATAGCATGATGGGCAAGCTGGAAATGTATGCCAATCATCTGGAGGAAGTGGTGGAAGAGCGGACCTGCCAGCTGGTGACAGAGAAGAGGAAGGTTGAGAAACTCCTGTCCACCATGTTGCCAAGGTATTTGGGAGCAGTGGGTGGACAGGCCAAAAACAACACAAGGAAGAAGAAATCTGCTGTCTTAGCAGCTCCACACGAGGAGGGATAGTTCCACTGCTCTTTTTCTGAGAGAATATCAAGCTATGTAAAAGGGGACCAAGCAGGGGAGAAGTTATGGGTAGTGGGGTGGGCAGGGAATGAAGGAGGGAGGGAGGGAGGGAGGGAGGGAGGGAGGGAGGGAGAGAGAGAGAGAGAGAGAGAGAGAGAGAGAGAGAGAGAGAGAGAGAGAGAGAGAGAGGTGTATGCATGCAAAAGTTGGCAAATTGGCCCTCCTTATTAATGAAAATACAGGCAAACCTCCCGAGTCCACAGGAATGGAAGCTACTGTGTGGTTTACGTGGAGGATGGTGGATGCAGCAATAGGTACAGTCACTAGATGGCAGTCTAGCTTCATGTCTAACCGTTAATGCAACAACTGCTTGCCTGTGAAATCTTTGCTTAGTTCAATAAGTGCCCGAAGCATCAAATTCAATAATTACTTCGACTTTTGTTCTTTTTCATCGGTGCATTCTCTGGACACTGGGAAAATCATTTGCTGTTAAAATTTTTGTACATTTGAATGCCAAGTTGTAGATGTAACCAACCGTCTTATTAAATAAGAAACACAGAGCCAATACAGAGATGAAAGCCAAGAGATCAGAGCAACAGCTAAGAGCTAAAAACCTTACCCTTCACTGTCTCTGTTGCCCTACCTCTCCAGAAGAGACCTACTTCCTGTGTCTGTCTTTTTATAGAGTTTCTGTTCTGCCTTCTCATTGGTTATAAACCCAACCACATGACTGCCTCGTCACTGCCTATCTGTACAGACCTCCAGGTCTTCTATGGTTGGTATTGAGATTAAAGGCGTGTGTCTCCATGCTGCCTGTATTCTTGAACACACAGAGATCTACCTAGCTCTGCCTACCAAGTGCTGGGATTAAAGGTGTGCGCCACCACCACCCAGCTTCTGTGATGGCTTGCTATTAGCTCTGACCCCAGGCAACTTTATTTATTAACATACAAATCACATTTCAGTACAAATAAAATATCACTATACCAAGTAAAAAGTGGGAGTGGGGAATATTTATTTTAAGATAGGGTCTCAATATGTAGCCCTGGTTGCCTTGGAACTTCCTGTGTAGATAAGGCTGTCTTTGAACTCACAGGGATCCACCTGCCTCTGCCTCCCAAGTGCTGGGATTAAAGGCGTGGTCCCTCATATCTGTCTAGAGCAGTGCTTCTCAACCTGTGGGTTGTGACCCCCTTAGCAAACTGCTATCTCCAAAAAATTTACATTGTTATTCATAACAGTAACAAAATTACAGTTATGAAGTAGCAAAGAAAATAATTGTATGGTTGGGGTTACCACAACATGAGGAGCAGGACTCAAGGGTTGCAGCATTAGGAAGGCTGAGAACCGCTGGTCTGGAGCACAGGGGATTTGAATGCACTCATGATAAGAGGACGGTTGTTGAAGTGAAAGCACTGGTTTGTGGATTGGTGAGTGATTACATTCACTTCCACACGCGCGCACCAAGTCTCTACCATCAAACTCCATAGTCAACAGACAGGAATAGATGTTTTCAGTGAGAAAATGTTTTTAATGAAGCCATTTATGTGACTTGTCCCTGACCTCCACCCTCTCTTACAATTTATAACCACCACTTAAAGTATCTTTCTAGAGAAAATGCAAGTGAATAAATGCATGTCACCAGGCTCCCTCTGTGTGGTGAATTATTAGTGAAAACCTGGTCCACCAAAGCCAAAAGGTCTGTAGAAGGTTGGCTTTGCCCAGAACCGTGGGAGTGCAAACACACGCGACTTCGCTAAGAACTGTCCTTGCTCTGATTGCAGCTTCGTTGGTGAGCAGCTCATGGCTGGAAAGTCTGTGGAACCAGAGCATTTCGAGTCTGTCACCATATTTTTCTCTGACATTGTGGGATTCACAAAATTGTGCTCTCTCAGCTCCCCCTTGCAAGTGGTGAAACTCCTCAATGACCTGTACAGTTTGTTCGACTACACAATACAAACCCACGATGTGTACAAGGTGAGCTGTGACCTGTGCAGATTTCTTATCTGTTGTCTCGGGCTGACTGAGGACAGATCATATCTCAGTTCATCCCCATTCATGGTAGAGACTCGACATTTTGTTTCTGTTGTCTTCTTGGGAAGGGGCTTGATCAGTCCCAGATGTACATGCTTCTCCAAAGTCACTGTGTGGGGGCAGCAGGTGACTCAGTCACTAAAGTGGTTGCCTTGCAAGCTGGAAGACTTGAATTTGATCTCCAGAACCCACATAAAAATAAGCAGGGCTTCATAGTTCAAAGTTCTCAGCACTGGGGAGACAGAATCAGGTAGACTGCTGGATTCATGGGCCAAACGTCTTAATTGGTGAGTTCCAGGCCAATGAAAGGCCTTGGAGCGGGCATGGACTTCCGCCTCAGTCTCCTGACTCTCCTCAGCATGGAGGGTCTTCTCTGTGTTGTGACACGAACTCTCTCTCTCTCTCTCTCTCTCTCTCTCTCTCTCTCTCTCTCTCTCTCTCACACACACACACACACACACCATTGCTACCAATACTCTGTATCTTCACCCATTATTTTAATTTCACAGTAAACATGTTTGTAAAGAAACATTGGCCAGTACTGAACATGTGTCCTTCAGTTCCTGGGAAGCTTATAGTCACTACCTTTAGATCCTCTGTGAATCTTCCTTCTGTTGGTATAATCCTTAGTAATCCAGGGTGAAGGCAGACTCTTCAAATTTAGTCTGCCAGGATGCAGCTAAAGGGGAGATGGCAGCTATGACCTGTGGTGCTATTGTGTTCCCCAATATATCGTGCACCCTAATAAATTTATCTGGGGCCAGACAGAACAGCCACTAGACAGACATATTGGCCAGAAAATAGTGGCACTCACACCTTTAATCCTAGCCTTCTGGAGGCAGAGATCCATTCGGATCTCTGTGAGTTCAAAGCCACACTGGAAATAGCCAGGCATGGTGACTCACTCCTTTAATCCCAGGAAGTGATGGCAGAAAGCAGAAAGGTATATAAGATGTGAAAACCAGGAACTAGGCTGGTTAAGCTTTTAGGCTTTTAGCAGCAGTTCAGCTGAGATTCATTCTGGATGAGGACTCAGAGGCTTCCAGTCTGAGGAAACAGGATTAGCTGAGGAACTGGCAAGGTGAGGAAGCTGTGGCTTGTTCTGGTTCTCTGATCTTCCAGCATTCACCCCAATACCTTGCTCCAGGTTTATTTTCATTAATAAGACCTTCTAAGATTTGTGTAGCAATGACCTGCATGGTGCTACTCAAGGGGGCATCTAAACATGGTTCCCCAGAAAGAGAAGATGGAGGAGGACAGCAAAAGCAGCAGTGGTGACTTGGTGTGCATAGTGGTGCTGATGCTGCTCTGTGGGTCATTAGAACTCTTTCTGGGCAGGGTCAAATCACGGTTAAGGGAGTACTCTGTGTCTATGCCTCCATGTACCTGCTAGGCAGCCACACCAGTACCACCCTGCCCATGACTCCAGAACTCCTCCTCTACCTCTACTCATGTCCAGGGACAGACAAGGTTTGGGGGACACTGTGACCATATCCCTGAGTGGCAAATGCCAACTGGGCATCCCCTAGTATTCCCCATAAATGATGATGGGACAGAGAGCCTTTGGGAGCTGATCCCTACTCCTGCTCTGCCTAGGGTGGTGTCCCCTGGAATTTTCCTCCTAGCTTTCTCTCCACCAGGGCACTTGGCATGGGTGGCCATTACATCTGGTTTGTGTTGGTGAAGGTTGTTCTCAGGAGGGGACAGTGGCCTAGAACAGGGTCAGACGTGTTGATTTTTATAATTTGGGGGTCACCAGAAGAGAAGTGTTCCCACAGGCAGAAGTTTTCTATTATTTACTAATATAGTGGCCTTCCATACCTTCTTTGGGTTCTACTGGACACAACTGTGTCAGCAAAAGGCTGGAGCCTTGGGCTTCTAGTCTTCAGTTACTTCCATGCCAATGAGAACTCTGGACTCTGGTTTTATTAGGACTGGTGGAGAGGAGCACAGATTAGTGATCCAAATGTGTGTATAAGTGAGTGCATTTTGAATGGTATGTATGTGTTTCTAAGTCCTTGTGTGGTGTGAGGACATTTCGGGTTGGCTAATAATGAACTCTGTTTGAGAGATCCACTGGATCCTTGAGGATTTATGTGACTTGTAAATGGCTGCTTGTCTAATTGGTTCTGACCTTGGACTAGGGAAATATGGCACCAGGTTATCAGGTCTAGAGATGCAGGCAGTGCCTGTGTGAAGGAGAAATGGTTTCTGTAGGAACCAGGGCAAGAACACACCAGGAGAAATGCTGGACTTAGGTGGAGTGGAGATCCATGCGAGTCGAGCTTTGGAGCGTGGGGCCTCAGGAGAGGGGCTGGGAATATGGTGGTCTTGTGTAAACCCATCAGCTCATTTATCCAGGGCTTCCCTCGTGGAAAACTAAGAGCATTTCTTTGTGTCATTTCCAGGTTGAAACCATCGGTGATGCATACATGGTGGCCAGCGGGCTTCCCATTCGCAATGGAGCTCAACATGCAGCCGAGATTGCCACCATGTCCTTGCATTTACTCAGTGCCACCACCCACTTTCATATTGGGCACATGCCCGAGGAGAGACTCAAGCTCCGGATAGGCCTCCACACAGGTAGACATAACTGATGGCAGGTGGCAGACGGTCCCTGCATGACCACAGGTGCCTCTGGACTTGAGCTCCATGTCTGAGGCTCTTAGGAGCACTGTCATTAAATGGCTACAGTGCCAGGGGACCACTGAATGCACATATATTTCCAATTAGATTTATGAGAATGGGGATATGCAGAAAGTCTGAGATGTTTAAAAAAACACACACACACACACACACAAAAACGGGCAGGCAGAGCGAGGGAGCCATGCTGGGCTCCATTTCCCTCACGTTTCCCTTTCACATTCCTTTGGTACCTTCTCTTTTTGTCAAACTTATGGGCTTGTGACTTGCAGATGAGTGACCCCTACTTGGTTTAATCTTTTATTAAAAAAAAAATTGAGAGAGTCTTGTAGCTGGGAGTCACAGCTGAAGTTGGCCTCAAATTTGTGGTCTTTCTGCCTCAACCTCCCTGAAGATACAGGCAGACACAGGTCTTGATACCCTTTGAGCAAATGCTTCACATTTTCCTTCTGCATGAGTCCTCCCCCTGAATTATGCACCCATGCTCCTACTATCCAACTGAAAACAAACCCAATCTCCAGCCAGAATTAATTCCTCAAGTTCATGCTGCCGTGAACTTTGTTTACATCTGCAGTTCAAAAATAGCGTGGTTAAGGTTTGACTGTTGATTTCTACAAGAAGTGAGCATCCTGTAGAGGCTTTAAGGCACTCTACAATACATATACAATTGTCAAGCATTGCTCCAAAAGGGTACTTGATAAATGCTTGTTGTGTTAATTTCCTCCATGGACTTGATGGCCTGTGTGGAGCCCAGCCTTGGGAATGCAGGCAGTTAGACCCTTCTATTGTTCCCTCCTTAGGTCCTGTGGTAGCCGGTGTGGTGGGAATCACCATGCCCAGATACTGTCTGTTTGGAGACACTGTGAACATGGCATCCAGAATGGAAAGCAGCAGTTTACGTGGGTATCATTTGCCGAGCTCTGCAAGCATGGTATCCCTGCCCCCCAATTCCTCTATCTTTAACCAGTGGGTATTTTAAGAAACTCATTTGCATTTTGTCTCATTTTCCATCTGGAAGAGAAGATCATTATTCCCAGGAGACAACCTGAGTTCCTAGCTGTGTAGACAGTATTTTCCCCATGTGCCCAGTGGAGCTACATAGACACATACGGCTTCCTCCTTTTAAATCAAGCTCTCTCTCTCTCTCTCTCTCTCTCTCTCTCTCTCTCTCTCTCTCTCTCTCTTTCTCTGTAGAGGACAAATATCAGGTATTTTTTCTACTGCCCACCTTACCTTTTGGGACAGGGTTTCCACTAATTGACCAGGCTGGGTGGTCAGTGAGCTCTCAGAATTCACCGGTCTCTATCCCCCAACATTGGGGTGATAGGCATGCACCACGCCCAGCTCTTATGTGGGTGCTGGGGATCCGAACTCAGGTCCTCAGGCTGGCATAGCAAGCACCTCACCCCCTAAGCCATCCCTTCAGCCTTTCTTCCCACTCGGAGCAAACTACACACATGAAAGCATATAAGAACAAAGCACAAATTAGGAAAAATTATTTTTGTAGGGCTAAACAGTAAATATTTTATTTTAGGGGCCATCAGTGTCCATTGCAACTACTTTTTTTGGGGGGTGGTGGTTTCAAGACAGGGTTTCTCTGTAGCTTTGGAGCCCATTCTAGAACTCACTCTGTAGACCAGGCTGGCCTCGAACTCACAGAGATCTGCCTGTCTCTGCCTCCCGAGTGCTGGGATTAAAGGTTTGCGCCACCACCGCCTGGCTCAGTTGCAACTACTTAATTCTGATGTTGTAGTTCAAAAGTAGCTTTAGAAAAATGTAAATGTATAGCAAGACCCTGTTCTAGTAAAACTTTATTTGCAAACAGGCAGACTGGCCTGTGAGTAGTAATGGTTCCATCTTTGGTGTAGAGTATATTCCTGGTGGTGCAGAGGAAATCTATGACCAGAACTATAGAAAGCACCATATTCTTGTGTATTTTTTAGTAACTTTGTTGAATTAGTGATCACTTGAGGTATATGATGTGTTTGTGCATGCTATTTTTCAGTTGAAACAGAAAAAAATTCCTCAGTGGTTGAAGTTTCAAAGAATTTAGGTTTCCATTATTTTAAAGGTACTGATTTCTCACAATGTATAAACACACACAGTTACCTCATTGTTCAAGTTAATCAACCAACTTGAAAACACAGATTAAACCTATCAGCTTGTGAGGAAGGGGCTGGAGTAAAAGCTGGCTGCTTAGGCAGGCTCCAAAACTGTTTCTGTGTGCACCTTCAGTTATGGTAATGTTCTCAGTAGTATGTCTCCAGTTCATCCCAGGAAGTTTGAGAAACCCAGGGAGCCTCCATTCATGGGGATTGTCAACTTGCAGAATGAGTTAGTTCTCTGTGTTCCTAAACCAAATGCTGACAAGCATCCATCAGTATCCAATACCTGGGTGGGGACACATCCTAACCTATGTGTCCCAGACACTGGGTATTATTTGTGCTTTACATTTATCTATTTGTGTATGTATGTATGTATGTATCATCTATCTATCTATCTATCTATCTATCTATCTATCTATCTATCTATCTATCTATCTATCTATCTACACCTACCTACCTCCCTAACTTACCTATCAATTCAAAAAGTGTCTTACTTCATCCCAGGCTGGCCTAGAACTCATGATGTAGTCAAAACTGGTCTTGAACTCCAGATCCCCTGTTTCTCCTTCCATGGGCTGGGATTATGATACCCAGCTACGTGTTTTGTTTCATGAGAAGTTCTGGAGAACAAAGAGTGAGAGTAAGGTTGGTCCCCTCTCCAAAGAGGCCTTCACATACCGACTCCTCGGTTAACTCGATGTTAACTAGGCAACGCCTGGTTTCTGGCAGCTCTCCGGATCCATGTTTCTCAGAGCACTGCAGGAGCTCTTCTAGCAGCCGGAGGGTACCATCTGCAAAAGAGAGGCACCATTGCAGTCAAGGTAAGGCCAGGTTGACTGTGTTCCACTTCCCCGGTTTGTGTCCTTGATGGACATGTTGAAGAATTGGAGGAGATGAGGGAATCTCTACTCAGAGATGCAAAGAGACTTCCGGAGCTCTCTGAAGGCTTTGGCAACTGCTGGATCTGTCTCCTGAGGAGATGACTCAGACCCCTCAGTGGTCAGATATGGATTTCCAATAGGAAATACCTTAGCTGTCACTCCTGAGGGATGCCTTTTCTGCTACCAAACAGTCTTTCAGCTTCCACTTGAACACTCCAGCGAAGTCCTTCACACAAAGTCACAGTGAACACAACCCTCTTTCCTTCTGTGTCCCTTCCCCTGGGACCAGCATGTCCAGACAGAGGGGACAGAAATCTTTGGTTGGCCTCAGAGATGCTAGGACCTCTTTCTTCTCTGTGTAATACAAAACGCTCTTACTGTTGTCTGTGTCTTCTTCATTGCGGCTTGTTACCAAAATGACTGGATGACACATCCTCATCACCCACTTCAGACTGCCCTTTCCTGGGGTGGGGGCGGGGACGAGAACCGCTGCTCCTCTGGAGATGTTCTCAGTATCATCTTGGAGATGTGCACATAGCAGCAGTGGCGGTCACCATGACACCGGCTGTTTGGGTAGGGGTGGAAACCTAGAAGAAGAGGTGAAAAGGGAAGGGCATGCATGGGCTGTAGTTGCCTAGCATGTCTGAGGGTCTGGGTTCATTCCCCAGTACTGCCAGAGGGAGGGGCACTGGGAAGTGAGAGAGAGGCGAGCAGCATCAGCTCCCTGCTGCCAGGGCACTGTAGCCCTCCAGCAGGTAGACGGGGACCTTTTGCTGGCCGTTCTGTAGCCTTCTTGGGATGATGTCCCCTCCTGATTGGTGACTGGAGGACTTGGTTGTACATGTGGAAAACCGGCATGGTGGTCATGCTGAGCATGAGGATTCTATGTACACAACATGTGAGGTGTTCTCCTTGGCACCCAAGTCACACTAAGAATTCAGATTATATTTTTAAGATTGGGGAGGGGGGCAATGGAGTTTATTTCCACAGAAGAACATGACTGACTGTCCATGTAGCCATCAGGATTTTATATACAAAGAGGTTATTTCTTTCAAAGAGGTGGCTCCTGCTCTCTTGCCCAGTGAGGCAGACCCAGCCAGGCATCCATCCATGTCAGCTGCTCACCAGACCCTTTTTGCTTCCCACAGGGCAAGGGAGAACAGACGACCTTCTGGTTGACAGGCAAAGATGGCTTCACTGTCCTGCTCCCCGAGTTTACCGAGGAGGAAGAAGCTAAAGGTCCAGAAATCTTGTGAGGTGGGTATGTTCTTTCAAGATGTTTGGGGGAAATGCATCCATTATCCATCCCTCTGAAGAGGTGTAGTTCTGGGGCATTGAGTCGATCTCCCACTAGGGGGCACTGTCTGACTGGTAGCCCTTCCTGCTTCAGCCTTTGCTCCCAGGCTGCCTGTGCAGTTGGAAGAGGTGGATAGAGAGTACTCATTTCCTGGGATGGCCGGCCACAGAGACTCATGAATCTGCCTAAAATCTGTTTCCTCCTAGAAGAGGGAAAGAGGAAGATAAAGCCTGGGCAAAAATGCACCCGACCTTTCTCTTGCAAGGCAGCTAACCAGCTTAGAAAAAACTAGGAGTCCCTCCTCCCCCTCAGCATGAGCTCAAGACAGAAACAATCCCACGTGAGCACCCAGGCCCTGAAGCTTGTGCCTGGCGGTTACAGAGGAAGACTCACTGTGAACTAAATGGCCTAGTTCTCAACTCTGTGAGTGCAATGGATAATATCCTGTTATTGCCTGTTTTTCCTACACACCAAATTACAACTCTGGACCAAGCAGCATCTCTGGAAACCAAGACTTGAATTTTAACTGGAATTTTCCACTCATTTATGCACAAAGAGTATAGTTTAAGAAATCCAGCTGAGGAAGATGAGCCTGTCTGGTCCTGTGGTGATTATTTTCCCTTTTGCACAAAAAAATTAAGTTCTGTGTTGAATTGTTTGGGGATTATTTTAATGGCTCTCCCGACCAACTCTTTGTTACGACACTTCTTTCTTGGCACCTTGTATCTCCCTAGCTCACGTGGTTGCTAGGTAGTGCAGAGAATGTTCAGACGAAATGCTGCTTTTGGACCCTTTTTCTGTTAAAGTTCCCAAGAATGGAGAAGTGAGAGCAGTTAGATTTTCTCTGTTGCTGGTGTGTTCTGTGGCTATATTTTTGAGTACTGTATTAGGAAACAAACTACCTTTGATTTATTGGGGTGTTTTCATGCCCATATTTACAAAAATGTTCTGTATAATGCTTGCCTTTCTTCATAACCAAGAAAAGCCCTCCTGGTATTACCCATTTCACCCCCCCCACCTCCCCACTCCTCTCCAGCATTCCCATCTGCTGAACTTGGTTTCTTCTCAGAGGTGCATGGCTGATTTCTCTGACCTTCAGAGACGTCTTTTCCTGGGTAGAGTTCTGACGAGAGGCTCTTCTTCCCCCCAAAGCACTCTGCATCAAGGGCTGATGTCTTAGACTGGTACTTAGGAGGAGGGGAGGCAGAAGGCATTCATGTTAAGGAGTTTCTCCCTTCTCCTCCAGCATGGAGACAATGGACCAGAGCGCATCTTCTCAGGCTTTCGACCTTCTTCCCTGGTTGAGCAGCATGGGTTCCTAAACACTTTGCTCCATCATGAAAGAAAACAAACTATAATCTCTTGTGTAGTTCTTAGATTGATAGGTCAGGCTCTTTACAGCCATCCATCCATCTATTCACCCACCCATATGTTCAACCATCCATCCATCCATCCATCCATCCATCCATCCATCCATCCATCCATCCATCCATCCATCTATTCATCCATCCATGCATGCATCTTTCCATGCATCCATCCATCCATGCATCCATCCATCCACCTACTAAACTATCTATCTGTCTACCAATCTGATATCTATCCACCTGACTATTCCCCAACTCATCCATCTGAGAATTTCATGAACTCAAGGACCATGTGTTAAGTTTTCACTCTGCTAGCTGCCATGCTGGGAGTATAAGAGAATATGAAACTTTCATCTTTATCTTACAGTTTAGTTGGAAGGAGACAATTTTAACATACAGCAATGCAACATTAGGGACTAGTAGAGCTATAAACAAAAACTGAAGTAACCAAATAATCTAATATTGTTATAGTAAAAGGGCATTAGAAAATGCTATTCAGTTCCAGAGATGGGGTTGAATGAGGTAATTGTCTATTGTTCCATCTTTGTTTTTGTATCAGTGATGTACATTTGCTTCTAGTCCATCTACTTACCTAATCATATTCATATAATAAAGACTTTGTTAAATCTGTCTTCATTTAATATTATAAACATTTGATATCCAGACCTGTACATATACACAAAACACACATACATATACAAACACAGACACCCACATGCATAACCATATTCATATACACACACCCACATACATACATATACTAGGTATATGTGTGTATATATACACATGGGGAGAGAAGAGAGGGAGGGAGCGAGACAGAAAGGGAATGAATATAGATATCATAATTAGGAATTTTTATAAGAGCAGTTTCCACAAATCTGTATCTAGTGGTGTGTGTGTGTGTGTGTGTGTGTGTGTGTGTGTGTGTGTGTGTGTGTGTGTTGTGTACTAATGATACCTAAGGGAATGTGTATTTTTTCCCCTCTGGATGTCTGTTTTGTGTTTAGTATGAATTAGAATTTACAGCAGACATTACAATGAAGGCCCTTTCTCTTAATCCCTCATAGAGAAGTCCTAAGGCAGAAAGGGTAACCAAATACAGTGGGGGGGGGGGGCTACCAGCTAACCCTAAGCCAAATAATCTAAGAGACACTAGAGTTTCACAGGCAGGGATGGCCCAGGGGATCCTCCCACTCTCTAATGTTAGTCATACAAGATGGCTTTACCCCTCGCCTCTTGGTCTGTAAACTCCAGGAGTGTTTGAAGTACAAATGATCCAAAGTTTGTGGAATATTTGGATTCTATGAAGTCTAGAAGCCCTTGGAAAGGTTGTGGGATTGGCTTCTATCATAATACATGAACATGTAAACTGCAGTCATAGGTTATCTATTCCAGGCATTTTATTTAGTCCACAGCACCAGGTAGAAATACAAGATCATACATCATGGTGAGAAATTTAAACATTGTTTTATCCTGACAGCCAATGACATAAACTTGGCTATATATGTGCTATATAAGAGTTTCTGACTAGAACCAATGAAGCATGTTTTTTATATTTCTAGATTACAATTAACTCTGACTTTAGGAAGAGATTCCAAACTGATTGGAGCACCAGTTAGATACCACGTTTAGACTGCATGGAACCATTGTACCCCAGTCTATGGCTAAACAAAACAAGACTTGGTAACTGGGTTAATTTCTAAGTTCATTTATGCAAGTTGTAAAAAGATCGACAAACTGCAGACCTCAAAACCTCTCAAGGGCATTAAATACAGAGGACAAACTGGCACATGATCTCAAATGTTTGTACTTGACAAAGGAAAAAAAATGTAGAACTTGGCCTATCCTGTCACCCCACAGCTGAGGCTCCGGCAGGCTTGGTTTGCTCAGTTTGTTCCTTGTTGACAAGTGTGAATCACTGACATTGGCATGTTCTAGACCACAGGGCTGTCCAGTTTTGAGAGTGTGCCGTATGTGCTGTCATTGGCTATATTTGCATTGTGTTTCTGATGTTTTACTGGTTCAGTTCTCACAGTCGTAAGTGAACAAGCTGGAAGCAGACACAGGCTTGAGTGTTTTCAGGGAAGGTGGAATGCATTAGGCATCCCAGACAGGAAGACTTCCTAGAGCAGATGAGGCTCATGAGTCCACGGAGCATCAGGAGCTCTGCGGGAGGACTGGCTCTCCAATCTCAGAGAACCTGGGCCCAGGTACAGTCTTCCCACTGTCGTGCAAATGCATTTCATGTAGGCAATGCCACATTATCGTGTGAAATGAGGATGAATTTTACTCTTTCCGTAGTCTATTTCCTATTTACTTTTGATTACAGAGAAATATAATCAGTTATAAGGATAAGGCATTATAATACCTACCTAATATTTATATCTATTTAAGAAACCCTATAATAAAAAAATTAGTGCTAGGGGCTCTTAGGAACCCACTTCTTGTCTCTTACAAAAGGTTGAATGAATATATTTTATTTAACTTGGATTTCCACATTTTCACTTGAAAATTGGAATCTCCTGCCTAGGAGCTCAATTCTGGTCCTTAGAATTAGACAGTGCCTGCTGGGTAAAGTTGGCTATCCCTGTGGATTCTGTATTTGGCATTGATTTTTTTTTTGTGGTTATGGTCTGTCTTTGCCTCTGAATGCTAAGCTGCATGTTATGTATGTGTGAATCTTTTATGATGAAGTAGCTTTTGAATGCTGCCCTAATTTGAGTAGAGAGAAGACTCCTCCCCACCTTCGTGGAGGGGGATTGGCAGGACCTCATGACCAGAGGAAGGAATAAGGGGAAGTGTGGCTCCAACGGCAGTGGATCACCAAATTCACACACACAAAATAATCATGGGGAACACATATTTGGCAAAGCGCTGTTCTCTGCTCCCCAGCAGTGAAGTCTTCTATTTGTTCTTTTTGGCAGTGTGTCATAGTTCAGGGTGGCCTTGAAGAGAGTCGCTGCAGCTGCCCAGATCTCTCTTATAGCACAGCACAGATCCCCAACATCAGGATGAGGTGATAAAGAACATCTGTGGAGCAGAGGGGCAGAGACACACTGAGAAACAGCTGCATAAGGTCAAGGAGAATCAGCCAGAGTTAACGCAATAAGGATGCTGAAAGCTTCCAAACTTCATACAGTCGTTTCTGTTCATCCCCTGGGGCTCGCACTGTCCACTTCTATCAATACCGAGGTCCTGATACATAAGCTTAGATTGTGGACCATTGGCAAAGAGACATTTGAACTTGGATGGCACAGTGATGGCATACACCTTTCACTGTAGGATGCTCTCTGGAGCACTTCCCTTGAAAATGAGAAGTGGGCATTGAAATCGATTTACATGATTTTCTTCTAATGATGCAGTGGTTTCCGTCTGTGAGTCTGCAAACCACTGCCATAGCCCCAGCCCGTCTCCCTCATTCTTATGTCCCTGTCATCTTGCAGCCAGACCCTTGTGCAGCTGGAATGGCTCTTCCTCTAAGAAGTGGCTCTGGCTGTTGCTATGCCGGTTCCCCCGGCCCTCACTCCATGACCTTGCCTTGTCCACTGTATTGTTTAGTGCTGACCTATAATTCATAGCACACCGTGTATGTAGGGACAATCAAAGCCCAGTTCACACACAGGGCCAAGCTGAGAGGGGAGGCTGAGGCTCTTTCTTATCGGAGTCACTCCATTAATGAACAGCTGAGTCATAGCAGGGCCGCAGATATTCGCTAATGAGCAGATGATCTGATCAAATCTATGTTCTGCAAACTCAGGAACCTTAGGAAAGCCACCAAGTGATGGCTTTGTTCAGAGGGTGCTGTGGGATCTGATGGTTTTTCATCCATTCGAAACAGCTCCTGTCTCGGGTCACAGGCTGGTTGGAGTGAGACCTCTTTGCCTCTGTGCCCCTCTGCCCACTCAGGTGTACTTCAAGGTGTATATTTTCAACGACAGATTTTGCTGGGGTAAAGTAAACACCTCTAACAGTACATCTACTTCACAAAAGCATTGCCCCATGACACGTAAGTGCCTCTTAGTCTTACCTGAGAAGTCACAGAGACTGGAAAGTCCCCTGCCTGGAGTGAGCAAAGAGAGAGAATGCAGGTTGAAGAAAGTCATGAAAGAAGTACCAGGACTGTTTCTGAGCCACAAAGCTGACCATGTCTGACCTCCACTAAATCATGAGCCATTACCTTTTAGAGGAAGCATATACTGAGGTTTACAAAGACTTGTATTACAGCATCATCTCCTTGGCTATCTAAAGCAGGGGCTGCTAAATATTTTGGAGAACACAAGATACTAAATACTTTTAGCTTTGCAGGGGGCCATGAAGTATTTTTTTTCTTTATACTTTTGGGCAGAGTCTTACTATATATCCTCGATGACTCACAGATTCACTCTCCTCCTGCCTCAGCCTCTTGAGTACTGAGATTACAGGTGTGTACAACCACACCAAGCATGGCCTTGTAGTGTGAATATTCCTGTAGATAATGCCATCTGTGTTCTAATAAAGCTTTGTAGACACTGAGATTTTAATTTCATTGAATTTTTATGCACCACATTTTTCTTTTTAATTTTTGGAACCACGTGAAAGTATACAAAACCTGTTTTAGTTTGTAGACCCCATAAAACCAAGAGGAAGCATGGGGACTTTGCCCTGGTCTGTGGTTCGGCACTTATGCTTTGAGGTACAACTCTAAAGTGCAGTAGAATATTATTTTAAGGTGTGTTACTTTTGTTTATGTTGCATTTGTTTAATTCTGTGAAGCTGTGTTACTGTGCCTGTCTAAAACACCTGATAGTCTAATAAAGAACTGAATGGCCAATAGCAAGGCAGGAGAGAGGATAGGCGGGGCTGGCAGGCAGAGAGAATATATAGAGGGAGAAAACTGGGAGGAGGAATCGAGCAGCTAGAGAAGGAGGAGGACTCTAGGGACCAGCCACCCAGCTACACAACCAGCAAGCCATGGAGTAAGAGTAAGATTTACAAAGGGAAAAGCCAGAGGCAAAGATAGATGGGATAATTTAAGGAAAGCTGTTGAGAAAGAAGCAAAGCTAGTGCCGGGCATTCATAAGTAAGAATAAGCCTGTGTGTATGATTTATTTGCAAGCTGGGTGGCAGGCCCCCTAAAAAGAGCAAAATCAAACACACCACCAAAGTCTGGCTCATCCTCCGCTCACAGCATTCTCCAGGTCATACTGACATTTTCCAACAGTCTATAAGGCCTCTACTGGGTCAGTTCTCGTGGCCACACACTCCTGCATCACCCTATGCATCCCCCACCCCTCAACATTCCCTGTCCCTCAGTGTGGACTGTCTGTCTCCTGGCTAGAGGGTAAACTCCTGAGACAGGGTCTCCATGAGTCTTGCTCATTTCTGGAACTCAGTGTTCAGGCCAGGCTTGTCAGGGAAGGCTTGCTGACATTCCCAGGACACCTACATTTCCATTCCCATTGTTCACTGAGTGGCCAGTTTGGAAGCTCAGCTCTGCACTTCTTAATCCCTTAGGGACATTTGGATTTGGGCCCCAATAAGACGTTCACGGCAGTCAACAAACCTCTCACCTCCTTGGGCCCACATGATCAGACCCCCCGCTACTCGAGGAGCAGGTGAGTGTTGTGTCCACAGGCACGCCTGGTTTGACA